TTTGGGCAATATAGGTATATACTAAGTTTCAGTCTTTCTAATGTTAAATACTGTATCGTTGTAATCCAGATAAAAACAAATTGCAGAATTAATCGGAAGCTTTTTTCCCTTCGTGAAACATTCCACCGAAGCTCTGTTGAAACGTGAAATTCTAGTAGCTTTACAAATATTTTGTTTGGTCGATCGAACGAGAAGCACTCGACTCGAGTAGAAGCCAACGCGAGAATAAGTTCAATGAGCCGTGATTATTTTTCGGCTTAACGTTCGAGCATCGAGTGCGGAAATTCTAAAAGAAAAAAAATCGGCAAATCTCGCGTATGAAAAGAATAATTTCTCCGTTCGAATAAAATTCTTATCCTGACTATTAGACACGAGTGTTTCTACAAAACCTGCGAGACCAGAGTCAAACGACGTTCGCGATACGTTCTGACAGCCAATATTCCTTATCATCTCGTTCGTAGCATAATCTGCTAACAGGACAGAGTGAATGAGAAAGAACAAGAGCGGAAATCGGCGGCACGAGTGTGGACAAGTGCGAATAACAAGAACACCGCGTTATCCTAGCGAGCGCACATTGCTTCGTGATATCCTTGGCACGGATATAAAGGAATCTCGTGGCTCGTTGTTAAACGCGCCGTCGCTCAACCAGGCGCTTATTATTATCAGTGGTTATCGTGCGATTTTTACACAGTCCCAAGGCTGGTCGATGAAAGCAAATGTAGAAATTCAGTCTTTTTATATGTTACAATAATTATTTTTTACCTTCGTGCGTCACTTAATTTATCTTTTGTACTATCAGCTTCTCCCATACATGTAAATCGATTTAATGAAATTATGGCTTATACGTCATATATGGAGTTTATTAAAAATTGCAACATCTAATCACAAACGTGATATCAATTCTTGATAACGTTCACTCTCTGATACTTTACAGTAGTTACTTGCAACGTATGGAGTTAATCCAAGCTAAGAAAAGCTATACTTATTTCTCTGTGTCGAGCGTTCATTCATTTTTTATCATGCAAATACGCGTTGACATTGAAACGGTTGCATCGATTAGGTCTCGCGCGATTTCCCTAGTCACGCATAATATCCAGGCTAGTGGCGCGAGCAGGACTGTCGTCTATGCCATTTTTAATCGGCGAGAGAACGCCGCCGGCGTAGAAATCGCGTCTGTGTTCTTTTCTCCTACCGCGCCCGTCTGTCCCCCCTCGACGCGGTTGCACAAAAGCCTCGATCAACAGGAAAGCGAGGAGCCGGGTTTCCTCGCGGGTGAAGGTCGCGCGGAATAGATGATTCGGGTCAGTCTCGTACAATAAAATCGCGGATGCTTACGTCACGGCTGGAGAGATCGTGGCCGAGCGATAACCATTAATTGCCGATGCCATTCTTCGATTAATTGCTTCACGAAAGGACGAACATCTTACACTTGACATTTCGTTAAAAATCGAAGTATGATTTTCAAAAATTATATGCAGGTATAATTTTTAATACACAAAGTGTACAGAATATTATACAATAATTGTAAGAATTTCCATATGCAAAGTCAATTAATTATTATAATTAGTAAGCAATTGCATATTACGTAGATCAGATTGATAAAAAATTTGTTTCAGTTCGAAGAATCGTAAGCTTATTATTAGCTTATTATCGCAGATTTTCTACGAAAATAGATATGCAAAGATACAAACGGTTGTATGAAGTATCGACAGCGAAATGCATAATTTATTCAAATCAATTGTCACGTCATCATTTGATTTAAGTATATGCAAAGTGCAAGAGAGTATAAGTGTTAAAATATGTGAGATCGTAGATTTTGTAGGAAATAGACATAATGTGCAGGGATTCATGTCGATTATCATATAATTTAATTGACGTATCTACAAAGTGTAAATCCAAGTGTTTACGCCTTGGAGTGCGAAAATAGGAGATTTGTGTATGAAAGGATAATCGAGTCGAGTCGATTTGCGTTTGAAAAGGGAGACGGGACTGGTCGCGTGAAAAGTGACCGTCCGCCGTGATCGTTCGTTACATAAGTTACTCGATAATGCCTCGATCACGTTTCCACAACGACGTCTCGCAGCCGGTGTTCAGGAAATTATGGAAATGATATTCTAACGAAATCTCCGGCCGACGTTGCTCGTATTCTTCGGGGATCTGTGAGAAGATCGCCGTTTACGTAACCGATTGTCAGACGCGCGGAGGGACAGTTTGGAACTTGGTCAAAAGGTATCTATCATCGCTAGACTGTGAATTTTTATGCCAAGTAAAACATTTATCGGAATACCTCAATAATTGGGCTTTAAGTAAATGTTTCTCTTATTATTTTCGTACATTGAAGTATGCATTTACCTTTTGAAATCTGTAATAGTTTCTTACATTGCACAAAGTATTTGCAAAATTTGCCAATTTAATTTAGTTGAGATGAAAAGACACCTTCTGAAAATTTTGCTTAAAATTATTATTATTATTAGTTTAATACTATTTCCTTAATTTAATGTTTGACTTTTCGTATACAGGTTGTTAAATTAATTAATTAAATCAAGGAAAAACAGTTGAATTAATGATAATAATTTTAGTCTTTTGATATCGCTTAGTAAAAATAGTGTTAATCACGAAACTCAGTTTATTTCGATATCTACCAAACTATGACACGACGCATGTTCATATAAAATTGGTTGACATTATTAGAAGAACAAAATAAAAGTTACTGTGAAAAATGATACGAAAATCTAGCACACGACCGAAAGTTTCAATCAGGTTTTAAACAAAGGTATGATGAAGCTCGATGAAATCGATGGTCGAACTTTTAATTGTAAGTTACCGGTGTTTGCTTTATCGCCGAGCGGTCGAAACTTCCGAGGATACTTTTCGAACGAGTTTCTTTGTTGTTTAATCGTAATATCAATTTATACCGGGCCGGAGATAATTATTGGATTCCGTCGTACTACTTATTTCCAGATGCGCTCCGATGAACTGCGAAGTGCTATTTTAAAGTCGAACTCGAATCAACTATTAAAGTTGAACTCTGCGAAATCTCATTGAAAATCATTGTATTTTACTAATGCACACAATAAAATTATGACTAAATCAAAATAAGAAAAAAATCACTACAAACCTTTTTAATTATTTTATATATATTAGAACTAACTTAAGCACATGTATATAATATATCACATAATGTAGCACATTTATTAAGAGCGGCAAAAATTACCTGGAGCTAGAATTGGATTAAAAGGATTCGGAGACTCGAAAAACTACCAAAGCGTTCTCCCTTGACAATACTTTCCACTGAAACACTGCCAGTACTACTGTGGGTAGAAAGGGAGCGTGACTACCCGCACGATATTTACATAGATACGCAGAACGCGAAGGGAAGAATGCCACCGTAGGTAATTCATTCGCAGCCAAGCAGAAGGAAAGAAGTTCTTGCTAGGCGAGGGAAGAATGCGAGCCGCGCACACGGCCGCAGTATTCCACGGGACGCATTAGGCAGATGGAACGTGTAATTGGAATCGCGCGCCAAGAACCAGCCACCTGTCGTACTTTCCTACCCTCCGTCTCCTTTCGTCACCCTCTCTTACAAAATCGCTATTAACCCGTTTAGCTTTTGGCCGTCCGTCACGACTTTTGACGTTGCAAATTCCTTAGACGAGGCATATATTTTCTATAAGGATTCTTAGATCTTTCATGTCCAAAAAAATAGGATTGGAAGATGTGGTTCGTTCTTCTGATGCTAAGAGAAAATTTCGCGGTCTGTTAATGACGATTTAAAAAATTATTAAATATTTAATATAAATAGATTGTGTATTGGAGAGAACGGATACCAATGATAAGGTAATGTATTTTCTCTTTAAGAGTGATGTTACAGATTGAACATTTGATAAAAGGAACGCTCTTTACTTGTTTTCTTTTAATCGTTCCTTGAACACACGAGTTTTACGACGTCAGTACGGTCGTGTATGTAATTGTAAAAGTCAGAGAGAAAGATCCTGTCAAGGAATCGCATGAGCACGTGTTAAAAGTTCGGGTTGACATTCGAAAAAGGGAGACCATGCTTGTTGAACACTTTATGAACTGGAAACGACATGCTCGAACATCATTCCCTTTTATTTCATTTTTGTCGATTATTATTGTGCACTTATCTGTCACCTTTTACGCACGCGAGCTTCGCTTATTCATGCATCGAAAACTATACAATATATTTGATGTAATATGAATTTTCGTTTGCCGTACTTGCTTTGTTATCCAAATCAATTTTCGTATAATTATTTCGTCTATGATATTAAATGAAACGGAATTTTTCGTGAAGCGTAAAATATTTTCAAATACGAGAAATGTATAAAAACAGATTTTGCGAAAGCATATTGTACTATTATTGGACTCGAAAGTTTGTGTGAATAAAACCAATAATCTCGATGAGGGAGTCGAGGTTTGATAAACGAAGCTCGTGTGAGAGAATGAATGGATGTACGCGCAAGAGGAACAAAGCCACGTTAAGCTGGTTGCGATTGGTGTGTTGCAGACACGAGGTGCCTGTCACCTCGGAGCCGATCACGGTGATACACATGGACGAGGACGTCGTCGTGGTCAACAAGCCCGCCTCCATCCCTGTAAGTGGTGTACTGCCAGGACTGTACTGCCAAACAAAAATTTCAAATTGCGCACGCAGCAGCACACGCGGGCAACGATTTTGTCCTCGCGTCGACGACGATTGTTCCCGTTCGCTTCCTGCGGCCCAGGCTCGATTATTTTTGGCCCGAAGCCGCGCGATCAATCCACGTTTGTTTGCCGTTCGGACCTCGGAACACGGCCGGGTTATTTGCTAAATGGAATACCTTCGACTTCCCACCTAATTTTAACAAACTATTGTGCAACAAAAGCTGCAAAATCATTAAGAACTATCAGACGGATATACGAACAGTCGTCTTGAAAGAATTAGATTTTCAATACTAAAATTGCAAATTTACAAATCCAGAGCCTGATCGAACTTTGATACAGTTTCTATTCTATTCTATTACATTATACCATCATTAGAGAGGACATAACTCAGTGACATCGAGTAGATTCATTTCACTTTATGTACCCTGTTAATTACTGTACCATTAACAGCGCCATAAAGGGCAATAAAACTGGACTTTCCGAAACAGACACCACGCTTAATTATTCGCAAATGAATTGGCGGCAATAGAAATTGTAATAAAGAAATTTATACATTCCTCAGTCGAAGGTACTCCAGGATTCACGTTCTATTTTGCCTTCAAACTCCGTCATGCGTATGATTAAAAAAAAAAAAAAAAAAATAGGAAGCGTGTTCAATCGTCGTCAAAATAGCATTTTCTGCATGTTTCTTCTTTCCCTCAGCCGTTTGTTCTTCTCAATTTCCATTTCTTAGATAGCAATTATCTTGAGAGTACAAGATGGATTAGCTAGACGCGTGCATTTTACTAATTTTTCTTGTAGCCTTGTCTCGTCCGTTGGCTTTGCTCATCGCTGTGATTCGCGACTCGACGGCCTTCGAGGCTAAACGTTTATGAATAATCGCGCTGCGATTTTTCACTCACATTTTTACACGCTGACTGCTTTTCGATTCCCGGTTTAATCTACCTTACAATCCCATGGCCATCGTCTAATCTCTTATAATTACACTGCGGTCTTTTTATGCGAAATGAGATCTAGACAGGAAGTTATTTTATCTCTTAAAAGTCGTAGTGCTGATTTCACCTTCTAATTTTTATATTTTGTGCTAGTGCTATTTTTCTACAAGCATAGATTCGCAGTCTACTTAGAAGTTCAGATGAAATATTTTTCATTCATTTAAAGTCTTGGAGATTAAATGAATTTTTCTGTTCCTTCGAACTTCCATTCACTTTATGGTCTTCTCACTAATGCCTTTAACTGTTGAAAGTAAATAATTCCTGGCAGTTAAAGAATAATGTAATCTCTGTTGCGATGGACTTTTACTTCGATCGCATTGTAATTGAAAATTACACGGCCGGTGTAAATTATATTCCAGTTGAGATACGATCGAGGATGCATATACACATAATTAGGAATGCGCGATTAAAATTGTTGGAATCCCGTCATGAAACCGAGTATCGTCCCTCGAAGCATACATTAGCGGTAAATCATCTTGAATAGCCAGTGGAAATGTCATGACCATTAATGATTACGTAATAGGATACGCACAAAAATAGTTTGAAAAAAATCTTTACTTTCCTCTCCGAGCAGGAATCCCGTGATTCTCTCAAGGTTAATTAACATATTTCAAAGATTTATCAGCAGACTGCGAATTTTATGCATTTATGCAAATGTAAAATGTGCAGAAAATATCGAACGTGCATGGAATCTATTAAAATATTTGAAGTATCAAAAACTGCATGCATATCATAAAGTTTCTGTCTGTACCAATTTAAAAAAAAGATCCTTCTATTAAATTTAATCTTTTAAATAATAACGTAAAAGCATTAAAATATGAATGAAGAATTTAATGAATTAACAAATCTCGATGTATAAAATTCTCGCGACGAAATGGTCACGAAATTGTCTTCGCAACGAATGAGACTTAATACCATAACTTCGTCCAGTTAAAAAAAAAAAAATGTGTGAAGGTCGTAACGAGATTTCGTCACGGATGCGTTCAGGCTTTGTTCACCGTTTAATTCACGTTCGCGCGGATCAAAGTCAGGGAGAAACATTAAGCGATGGTTAATTACCATTCCGCCCGCTCGGTTAATAGCCGCAAAAAACATTTTAGCGGCCGCCGAACGATCATTTAATTACACCCGCGGGATAACGATGGAACCCAGTTTTATTTTCCAACCCCGTTTCACGTCCCGTTCCGCGTCCGTTTCCCCTGGCTTCAATTTCGATCCAAATAGTTTCAGAGTTCAACGCCGTATTCACTTTGCCTGCATTTTATATTCTGGTCTTAATTGCTGAAACAGCTCTAGTATTGTAATACAATAATCGCCTTGCACACTCCACATCCCAGATTCAATTGCAAAAACCGGTTGTAGTATTGCAGTATAAATATCAATCACACATTGAATGCTGTTTTTTTTTTGTAAACGATTTGTGTTCGGTTTTGATCTAATTACAATTTCACGCCCTATTTACTTTGCTGGCATTTTATACCCGAGATTTAACTGCTAATACAATCTGTTGTACTTATAGTATTGTAATAAAAAAAAATGTACGTCGAATATAATTTTTTTCGTGAAAGAGTCAATTTTGATTTCGATTCTCCTTCATAGAATTTGCTAAGAACAATTCTAGTATTCTACTGATTTTATCGATCATGCGATTTGTTTCACCGAAAGAGTTGAATAATTTTTTTTAGTCGAACCAAGTTCGAACGCAGACTTCTTGAAATGAAATTTCGTATTGAAAAGAACGGGGCGAACTTGAACTGGAGATAAGAATAAATTGCATACAAAGGGGGTTAGAAAAGTTCTATCGATACGATTCTCATACACCGCTTATTCAAATCCGAAGGAAAGGGAGGAAAAAGAACGGAGAAGCTCGCGATTCTCGATGCTCGCTGCGGGCAATCGCCTTAAAAAATTAAGTCCACCGCGAAAGCCTCTTAGCGTAATAAAAAATAGTTTGACCTGAAAAACGGGTTCGTGTGCGTGCATACACGCGCACGGTGTCTACACCGTCGTTCAAAAGTGCGTGGACCCTCCTTCGTAATAAAATGATCGTATCTATATTTTCCCATCGTTTTATTAAATATCTTTCCCATGAGAATAACAAGAAACTACGTCTACGTATAATTTTGTCATTATTTCAAAATTAGTATAATTCCACTATATTTAAAAAAATTCTTATAAATGTGTAGGATTCAAGACTGTTAAAATTTGATAATAAATGT